ATTTTCCACTCTGTTGGGAACTCTGGAAATCACGTTTTTTTGTCAGAAATTCCTGAACTTCTGACTGGAGAGACGAGCTCTGTTCTGGAGAAGACTGAACCATCTCTATAATCTCTCTGAATGGTGGGGGTTGAGCTGCGAACTGCAGCGTGTAACCCCTGCTGATCACACGGTCTGTCCATCTGTCCAGGGAACACACTCGCTGCCACTCTAAGTAACGCTCTGAGAGCGGGCACGCATTTTGTGTTGTGTCATGTTTCTCATGAACGTCAACCAGACTAAAAATCCTTACTGCCATCACTCACGCCAGAGATGCTCCAGAGGGAACCCAAGGGAGGCTCCGACAGAAAAAGGCTGTATGTGTGCCTCTGTGCTGAGCCCAGGCTGCAGTCTCACATTAGAGCTGAGGAGAGCCGGCACGCACTGAGAGGAGGCATGAGCGCTTTCTGAGTGAGACGTTGTTTCGGTGGAGGCCGCAGCTGTCGTGGAGAAACACGTTTACTCCCGCTGCGCTGTGAGCGGGCAGAAAACAGCAGGAATGAAAAACGGGCTCTGGCTGAAAACGAGGGATTTTACCGGACTCGGTCTGCTGAAAAAACATAATTTTAGCTGACGTGGCAGACGAGTGTTTTGTGATATTTACTGAACTGCGGTGCCATTTAAAACACAGTTTAGAAGTTATTGGCTCGTTCTGTGTGGGGAATGTGTGAAGAGAGGCAGCTGAGAGATCAGCTGATCTGACAGTCTCAGATGAAACTTTACTTTCAGAGATGTTTCTGTTTTATTTCAAAACATACATAGTCAAAAAAAACACATTCCCCTCAAGGAGCTGTTCCCTGGTGGAGCGGGTCGGTGGAGAAGCGGAGCGTGCAGTCGCTGCCGCAGCTGTGGAGCGCATCTGCTGCTGGCCAAGGCGGTCCCTCCAGCGGCCAGAGGGGCGGGAGGAGGACTGTGACGTCACCAGATGGTGTACAGACTCTGAGACCTCCTCGGAACTCTGCGATTTCTCAAGGATGGTCCTGAAGTTGGCCCCGAACAGCACCTCTGGAGTGATGGGGCCCTCCAGCAGGTCTTTCTGCAGCCTCTTGGACAAGGATGGCGAGAGGCGGAGCCAGATGGTCCTCTGGATCATGGTCATCCAGGCGGCGATGCGGGACAGGCAGACCGCAGAGGTGGCGCACATGTTTAAGATGACGTCAGCGGCTTTACAGAGAGAGCTCTTTGTCTCCTCTAGTAGGTCTGCTTCCTCCAGCCTCTTTGAGATGCTGTAAGCCAGCAGAGCAATGTTGTTGTTCGCTGCGACCGCCTGGTATGTGCACTGGTGAGCTCGGTTGGAGACCTTGTCACCCTCTGGTCATGCTTCCCTGGAGGGATAGGTCGCCGGTCCATCCTGGAAGCTTTTGCCCCAAGCGCCTCCGCCAGTCTTGGCTTCAGTGGGGGGAACCAAGGGAAAAACAGAGATCGGTAAAACCCTCCATTCTGGAGATGGAGGCAAAGGTGGAGACAGATGTCTTTAGCTTGCCGGGCCCAGCTGCAGCCACGTTCCAGTGTTACATCACAGCTAGACAGCGAGGCCAGATGGGATCAGGGCGACGAGCTGGGGCAGAACTAAACCTTCCCACCAGATCATCCGATCAGGGCGGATGGAGGCGAGGGACGGAAAAGTCCCTTTGTGTTAGCTGCCTCCTGGATTATGCCAGGCAGCTCCAAGAGGAGGGCACCAATGGCTGGGAGTGGTGTGGTCACCGACGTGGGAAGACTCGAAGTGGCTGAGTATCTGCTCAGTCGCTCTTATCACTACGCTCTCCAGGAAAGAAGGGGCAGCGAGGTTGTTTTCAACATCGCCTTTATCGGAGGAGTAATTTGATTCACTGCGTGACTCTGCATCAAAAAAGGCGGTGGCGTCGTCCTGCGCACAGCGTCCCGCCATGGAAGAAACACTCAGCGGAGCTGCTGCCCGAATCGCCTTTTTCAAGGGAATCATCCAATTCACCGCTAGGAAAAAAACGTTAGAAAAGGCGATGGTGTCGTCCAGCGAGTAGCAGCCTGCCAAGGACAAACACTCAGCGGAACTGCTGCCAACAGCGCCTTTTTCGAGGGAATCATCCGATTCACCATGAGGAAAACACGTTAGAAAAGGCGGTGGCATTGTCCAGCGAGTAGTGGCTCTCCATGGAAAAACACTCAGCGGTGCTGCTGCTAACATCGCCTTTTTCGAGGGAATCATCTGATTCACAGCAAGGAAAAAAAACGTTAGAAAAGGCAGTGGCGTCGTCCAGCAGGTAGCGGTCCGCCACGTAAAAACACTCCTCGGCACTTACCTTGAACAAGGCTGCTCGTCTCTGCTTCTCCTCACGAAGGAAGAGCTCATCGGGACAGTAGAAGGTGGGTGTGGCGGAGACCCAGGCATCCTTAGCAAAGTTTGTGCCAGTCTAAGCTGGACATCTTTTCCTTCTTCGTTCTTCTGACAGTGCTAGCTAGCTGGCTGAAGAAAAAAATGGGAGCTGATTACCCGGTCTTACCGTAATTTATACAGACCGGGGGTGGGGCCCACACAGCCAGTGGGCGTGGACTAAAGTTTTCAGTGCTGCGCTGCGTGCGACGGGATAAACCCACTAGCGATATCCTTAAAGGGCGAAGCCTATACGAAATAGAACATCTCTTCTAGATTGTATTACCACAAACATGCCACATAAATACACTGGGTTAGGCATTTTTTTACAAATTATCTAAGTGACCACTGTGTAGTTGGTGCAGTTAGGGATACTAAAATGCCTTGTTCTAAACCTGGAACAATCCTAAAACAGAGCATGAAGCCTTTGAGTGAACAGACCTTTCTTTTCATAATAGTTTAATTCGTTTATTAAATAAACATGCTCCATTATGCCAGTTCAGAAAAAAGGACCGGGTTTACTTCTGCAGTGTTTCCCCTAGATAACTTGCCATGGCAGGGCGCTCATAGGTCTGTTCACTTAAAGGCTTTTTGGGGGGGAG